TTGTTAACAAACTTGGTCTCAGAACTCCATTACGCGGACTTTTAAGTAAACACGTCATCAGCATAAATGGCAGTGCTATACAACCTGAAACCAGAAGAAAGCAGCAGTACTAATTTCTGCAGTCTTTCTTCACTTGTCCTTCATCCTCTGAGGTTCATAAAAAATTAGGATGTCTGCCATTTTCCCCCTGCTGTAGGCCTCTAACCCTGGTCAGTTCGAGAACGACAGTGAGCTCCTGTGGCAGCGAGGGAACACTCCAGACGCCGTCGCCTGTCACGGCAGAGTGGGAATCAACACAGATTCTCCGGACGAGGCTCTGGTGGTCTGCGGGAACATGAAAGTCATGGGGACGGTCATGCACCCATCAGACAGACGCGCCAAGCAGAACATCCAGGAGGTAGGAAGCACAGCGGGCAGAGCCCAGCTTCCACACACTGAACACCAGGGAGGAGATCACTCTGCCAGCCGTCAGACTGAGGCTCTTCCCCACACAGCGCCGGGGTGGACACTGTGATAGTGAACTGGGAAATGAACGTGTTACTCCCTTAGTGTTAATGTGTCCTAATCTTTATTTTTTTTTAAATTGAAGTGATTTACCAAAAAGGGTTTATTCTTCCAATCCTGAAAAAAATTGATTCATTGGTTGTAATTAATTAACACCTCATTGTTCAAGTGACACAGGAAAAAAAAAGCACAAGCTGTTTTTCCAAAAGAGTTTTCTGATCTGCTCTTAAGTTGCTAAGCTGCTTTTCATGTTCAATGCCTATTGAAAAATTAGCAAAATTGTAAATAAATAAATAACTGTTGCAGACAAGCCTGTATTTCTAGTGACTTTGTGAACATTTCTTTCGAAAGGTCTTGCAGCAGGCATTGTCTTGAGCACAGATTTGCTTCCTTCATTCTCTTTACTTCTTGGTCTTAGGATCCAGACGCATAACCTTATCCACACTTGCTCTTCTCTGAATCTGATGAACAGAAATGATGTTATAGCAGATGAATTACTGCACTGTATAATTTCACCTTAACATCTCTGAACGTTTAAGTGGCGCTTTCAGATATACTGTATACTAAAGCTGTGGTATGCCGTCTTAATCACTGTTCCACCAGACAGATAGTAGTTTAATGCATTGTGATAACTAAGGGCTTTAGTTAACTTTGCTATTTTAGTCACATGAGCAGCATTATAAGGAAAAATGAATAGCTTAGTAATATTGTGTTTTGTGATAATCCGCAGGTGGACTCAACAGAGCAACTCAAACGGATAGCCCAGATGAGAATAGTGGAGTACGATTATAAGCCAGAGTTTGCTTTACAAATGGGAATTGATCAAACCCATGAAACAGGTAAAATTATGAAACTATTATTGTAGTGAACACATACATAGTGTATGCAGTATATATGGTAAATATACTCTATAATTCCCATTTTTGTAACGCCACTCTCACCTATCACTGGGTGTTCGTTTTGCAAGGCTCCAATACAAATCTTTATAGAGGCTACTTCATGACCACTGTTTGAGTACAGGAGCCCTTAGTGATTCCCAAGCCCTGGGAAAAATCAGAGATGGGGCCCCACACACTCTCTTTATTCCCAAGCAACCCACTCCCAATTATCGCAGTGCATAATCCTGTCAAAAATGCACTTTGTGTTTGCTTTATGGCTTCATTTCCCAACATTCACTGACACAATACATATTTACAGATTAAAAAAAAAAAACTTGACCACTGAATAGAGCTAGCCAGATCGATCATATGTGGGTGTCAATAGAAAAAGTGCAACCTGTACGACTGACATACAGGAGCTCATTTTCAAGAAGCAGGTAGTTCTTGTACTCTGGAAGGATTCTTCAGTGGGTTATACTGTATATCATACTGCCCACACTGGGTGTTGGATCTCCCCTATTTATGACCACCCCTGACTGTGTAGGCCCCACTTCAAGGTGTGGTTGTTTGTGGCTTGTTGAGGTGAGCTTATTCTGCTGGACTCTGGCTGGTGTCAGATGCCCATGACTGAGCAGCTTGCTGTGTCTGTCCTTGTTTCAGGAATCATTGCCCAGGAGGTGAAGGAGCTCTTGCCTTCGGCAGTGAAAGAGGTTGGGAACGTGACTTGCGCTGATGGAGAGAAGATTCCCAACTTCCTCTGGGTGGATAAGGTATAAGAGGCCTTTAGTGAAGGAATTCATAACGTTACTGGTCAGAAATGCCATCTCAAAATATTTCCGGTCAACTCTTGCAAATCGAAATCCGTCCATCCATTTTAAAACCACTTCTTCCAATTCAGGGTCACAGGGGAGCTGGAGCCTATCCCGGCTAGTAACAAGAACAAGGTGTGGGGTACACCCTGGATGGGACAGCAGATCATCACGGGGCACACATAGACATGCACACACAACAGGGCCAGTTTTCCCAGAAGCCAATTAAGCTACCAGTATGGGAGAAAACCTGAGCACCTGGAGCAAACCCATGTGAACCTGGAGAGAACACACTGATAGCACCCCAGGACTTGAACCCAGGGCCTCAGCACTGCAAGGCAGCAGTGCTAACCACTGCTCCCACATGCAGCCCTCAAAATCTAACCATACTGTTTAAAATAATGAAGTAAGCAAATATAAATGTAACATTTGAGCTACTATAACCTGGCAGTGTTTTGGTCAGAATGTATGCGGTGAACTAACTTTGGTCACATTTCTTGCTGTATAATTTTATGTGAGAAGATTTGGTTAATAGAAAATTTGAACAAATAAGTCCTCTCACTATGGGTGAGCAGACATAAATTTTGTCTTTTGTCTTTTATTCTGAATGATTATGGGATTTATTAGCAAGTAGGTTAGAAAATCTGTTTGATAGCTGCATTTGCTAACCTACTTCATTTCATGTACTGTATGTGTGGTCAGATAAGTTTAATGATGTTCACTATCCATGTTATATATAAATATATAACTAGAACACTATAATTTAATCTCCAATACAAGATCCCCTAGAGTTTTACAAAACAGGTTTGGTGCTCTTTCTATATTCTTTCTTAGTCCAAATGAGAAGCATGACTCCACATGATCACGTCGGGCTCTTAAACTTTGAGGATCTGGCTATTGGACTCAGTCTATTAAGACTGATTGCTGTCCCTGTCATTTAAAAAATCACGATAAAGAGCCTGTAATGTTTGTCATCAAACATCATGCTTCTTTTTTTGAACAATAATTGGGACTACAGTAGTTCTTCAAAATTCATTCCAGTAACATGCTGGTGTTATTGAGACTTACGCTTAGAACATAAGGGAATGGAACTGCAAAGCATCCTGTTTGAATCTGGCTTGAGTTACATATTCATTTTTATTCTCTGAATTCAAGCCAGTTGTCTCAAGTGTCTAGGCTCCAACTCCTCGCTCCACGTGCCCTGAGCATCAACAGCAACTATTCACCATTTGGTACAAGGTGCTTTTGTTCATCGGACAAACTTCAGCAAATACCTTTTTCTTTCCAAAAAAGTGATGTGAATCCATTTTTATCATTATATTTTAAGAACTGTAATTCAGGATGGTGCTGTTCAATCTGCATGAAGCAGTGGTCAATTGTTGAAAATTATTATCTGGGCAGAAATACTGTTGTGATGACGTTTTTGTAGCAAGACCGACTTTTGTAATATGCCCATACTGTACATGTTTTGGGTGCAAAAGCAGTGACACAAGTGTGCTGTCAAACATGTTCCCTGATATCCACAGAACTATCCACTAGCTTGGCTGTCCATATCAGGACACCTGCAAGATCGGGTTTCCTATGAGTACTCGTATTGTGAGTTCAAAGTACTGCTCGTACTGCTTGTGATCAAATGTAAGACATGGCTCAGACGAAGATGGGAAAAACAATTAACCCCTTACATTCTAACAGGAAACCCAGCTGCTGAAACCTGCAAAATGAAATAAAAAAGATGATTCATCTGTTTATCCGCAGAAGACAAGGGACCTGGCCAAGCCAGTGATGAAAAAGACCTACAAATTAAATAGGACCAGCTCAGCAGGGCAGAAGCAATCAGCTGGGTTAGGATCGAAATCAAACAAAAGCAAAACATTCTGATCGTTTCTGCCCTCCAAACTGTTGTCAGACTCTATGTGCATCTTGCTGTTCTTCCCCCCTGTGCAGGAGCAGATCTTCATGGAGAACGTGGGCGCGGTAAAGCAGCTGTGTAAGCTGACAGACAACCTGGAGAACCGCATTCAGGAGCTGGAGGTGTGGAACAGGCAGCTGGCCAAGCTGAAGCGCATGGGGAGCCTGACCTCCACCCTCAGCGCGAAGAGTGCGCACAGGTACTGCTGTGGTCTGAGGAAGGACTCTGACTGGGGCAAATTTGATAGTACAGAGGTGCCTTTCTGTCACCCCCCACATACACCGTGCTTCATTTTGTGTTTTTGTATTTTTCTTTGTGAAAGTCCGACAAAAAAAAGCTCTCAAGACTTTTTTCCTGCATAACGTCCTTCCTCAGTACAGCTGTGTTATGAAGAGCAAAGCAGTAGAGAGCACATTGTACGTGAAGCTGAGGTAATTAGCACTGTGCATTAAGACCGTTGACTGCTAAATACAAAACAAAGCCACTCTGCTCCACTAGATTGTGTTTTGCTCCCAGGGACAGGTAATTAATAATTAATAAAAAGATGATACATTTTCCCCAGTTTTAGGTTCTCTTAAAAGTGGATTTCAGGTCAGCGAGGCAGAGTGTTGTGAACAACCTGAACAAAATGCTAAAAGTTCTGCAGCATCATTCTGAGAGAGATCTGTAGGAAACAGACCTTAAATCTTAGACTGCCGTTTCCATAAAACCACAAATCTAAAATATAAACTTGGTCAGCGATTTCCACCATTAATGACACTTGTGACTTTTCGTTATCTTGCTTGTCCTAAATAAGCACTATCAACCCTCATTCAGTCAACAAGGAGCAGAGGGAGAAACCCATTACAAAGTCAAGAGGCCAAATCTATCAAGCGTCCAAAACAACAACAAATGATGGCGCTGACAGCTACAATATTATTTTATGAAGCTGCTCCCAGTAATTTCTTGGATTGGTGACTTGTAAGACAAATCAGGTTGCTTAGGTTGCAGGCGGTTTTGGTAGGTGCCTGTTGGTCATAATTCGCTCCTTTTGAATCAGAATTTTCAAACTTCTGATTTCATAAAGAAATGTGTGTTTTTTTTGCTTTCAGGAAAGTCAGCAAAAACTGCAGTATCCCGCCTTCGCCAAAGCCATCCCCAATCGCATCTGCTAAAGTGAGTGAAATTCCATTAAAAAAACTGTCTCACTCTCTTCCATATTCGACAGCACTCTTTCACACTGTTGCTGTGTGCTTTCTTCCTCAGAAATGCCTGTCAGAGAAATATGAGCATTGCTCACGCAACAAATTCTTCCAAGCCACCATCATCGCCCTAGTGTCAACAATGGCATTTTGGTAAGGCTTTTCTCAGACTCTTTTCCTTCAGCTTTCATTTCTTGCCAAGTAATACAGTTGAATGATACTAATCAAGCCAAAAAACATCAATTTTTACTTTAAAAGCTTGCATGGGCATGCCAATAAGTTCATATTTTTACTAGTCTTGATCCTTGGTGTTTTGTTTCAATGCTATTGTTTTCTTGCTTTTCTTGCCTTTAGATTTTGATTTATGTATGGAAGTGTATTTGCCTTTAAGCGACAATGTATGTTCTGTCCCTATAGTTAGACAATAAATGTTTTCCTCCAGAGTTTAAAGGCATTCACAGGCAGGTTCCTGAAGACCAGATTGTGAACTATGGGTGACAGGGCTGTTTCTCCTCTCCTGGGTGTGGAATGTCCATCTCAAAGAAATCAGGAATCGGACTCCTTGTAATTTTAAATCTTACCTTAAATATATATATATTTTTAAACTTTTTAAGTCTTTGGTTTAGTTTCTCATGGTCTCTCCTCTTTTTGTCTGTGTTTTAATGTATTGTGCTTTGCAGTGATGTGTCATAAAACACACTCTTATAAACTTTTGACCATTACTGATTTTTCATACCACATTGTTGGCATTGCACTGCCACGTTCCTCATCATTGTGCATTACAAATAACTGGCTAACTGAGTGCTGCATCTTCCAACAGTGTGATTTCCATCACGGCTCTCTACATGCTCACTTTGAATGATGATTATAATGCCTCCCCTGGGAACAGGTATGAGACCTCTGCTTACCTGTTATTCACATTGTCACGTTGTCCTCTGCGACTTCTTTGCTGATAAGGCTGTGTACCTTTTCCATTTGCAGTAATGATTCACTTCTGAGCACACCTGCCAGCACCACCACTTTCCCATCATCCTTCTCTCCCCCAGGTAGGATCGTCATCGCCATCTATGCTCCTTACAAGGTCTTTTATATCCCAAGCATCGAAAGAAACAAAACAGAATACTCAGTTTATGCACGTTTTTTGAAAGTGTGTAAGATCTGAATAGGGATTAAATGTTTTTCTTGTCATTTTGATTACTTGAGCATCTGACAGATCATGTGATGTGACAGGCTTGAGTGACTTTGTCGCATAAGCACGAAGTCACTTAGTGAGAGTTGTTTGGGTGCAGGTGATGAAGAGAGCCTTGAAAATCTCAAGAACAGCAGAGAAATTAAGCAATGGCATCTTATGGCACATTTTAGAGGAAATCCTGCTTTGAACCAAAAACAGCGATCCAAAGCACAGAGTGGAAGCTTATCTTACCCTTAGAGATGTTCATTTAGGGCTTTCAATTCTTGAATAAGATATGAAGTTTTATAATTGATCTATATACAGTATAATATATTTTTTCAATTATACAAGCACCTATTGCAAGGCACTGTTTAGGTAACACATTTCTCTTGATGCTCAGTATACATTATGGCAGTGTGTCATTTATACTTTGAGCTTGTTCATCATGTTATAGTTTGAAACTATGCTACTGTACATTTTAGTGCACCTTTTGTGCATTATTTGTAAACTGGGACACACTTGAACATTTTATTTATTTTCTTTACATTAAAAGTTTAACTGAATGTGATGAAAATGTGATGGCAGCACTGGGGCTCTTGGATCCATTCCTGGGGTACTATCTGTGTGGAGGTTGTATGTTTGTAGGGTTTCTCTGGGTGCACTGATTTGCTCCAGCAGTCCAAAGACATACTGGTTGGTTAAAAGGGAACTGCAACACTATTTTTATATTTTGGGGTTAGAATTGATGAGTGCTTTTCAAACCACAATAAAAGTAAAATGTTACGTACACAGTAACCTGTAAAATCTCCAATTTATATAACAAAATAGATTAAATTTCCAGGTATGCCAGCTCTATATTCTGTGATTCAGAATGAGGCAACAAAACTTCTGCTTACATGGTGTGGCTCTATTATATTGTGAACAAGGAGGCTTGTGAATACATTTCTTTTAATCCAATAGAAATATTGCTTTCAATTTCGAGAGTTTTGCTGACAAATAATACTTGTTAACTCCACATGGCGATTTTGGCGATGAAACGCTTGCTGAACAACCTGTACTTATTCAGGTGTACATCACATTACATTAGCCATTACAGTGACTAGTGAGCGGGAAGGGCCACATTACAGCAATCTGTGGGAACTGTCACTCTCACCCGTGACAACTCCAGGTGTTTGCAACAACATGGCAACTCACGGTACTTTTGCAAAGTTCATGATTATGCACTTAATTTTAAATTAGTAAAATTTGTTGTTTTTTTTTACAGAGATTTAATAACCAGTCTGAGAATTTAGGACTGCAGTTCCCTTTTAATTTTTCTTTTGGGTATATTGGCTCTGGTGTGTTTTTGTCTGTGTGTGCCCTGCGATGGATGGAACCCCTGTCCAGGGGTGTATCCCAACTTGCGTCTGTTGCTTGTCAGGATAGCCTCCTGCTCCCCATTGTCCCTGTGCTGCACAAAGAGGTTTGAAAACGGATGGGTATAGTGTATGACAGGAAAAGTGAAGTAAGAAGCTGATGAATATACTTATTGTACACATTATAACTATAGAATACCAAAGTGAACAAGACATACAGATTTTTTGTGTGGTGTATCAATCAAGAGCATGCCGAAAGTTTGCCTTGATTTGGTAATGCTGTCCCCTGTTTTCTCAGCAAGTACTTCCAGCACTACACAGCCCACAATGACGCCAAGCCCACAGCCTCCTGATGTGGATTTCTGCAGCCTGATGTACTGTGAAGTTGTGTACTGCTGCCCCTCGGGACCCAGTAACCACACTGCGTCCAGCCCAGAGCCCTTCTCAGCCACAACCTCTCCAGTCTCCCACACAGACACTCCTCACACAGGTATGCTGATCACACTGCTGTCTCACAGATCTTGCAAAACACATTCTAATGTAGGGATGCAAGCAGTCACAGGGCAGTCTCGGCGAAGGTTTGAGATTGTTTTTAATTTCCCATGAAAAGGGCCATTCCAGAGAACACTGGAGAAGACACGCAAGGTTTATCCCCACATTATGCTAAATTCCAGTAGTCTTATAGAGCGTTTAAGCCATGGTCACCCTATGTTATTACCAGAAATGGGTGTTTATTTAGCCGATAACTGCATATTGGAATCATCGAGAATACTTCCACTTATGACACAGTGGCTATTCCCGGTAATGTTAACCTTCCAGTTACTACACCTACAACAGAATTTCTGATACTGTATGTCTCAGACATCAGGTGTCTGTTTAAAATGCACTCAAGCTGGGTAAAGAGCGATGATCCCAGGCCAGAGTCAGATTACTACACTGTACATCCTCATTTCCTGCATCTTGAACCCCTCACACTGCTATCTTCAGAGCCATGCAACAGAAATTTCATTTGTTTGGAAACATGGACAATTGTGTCTTAACAGAGACATTTGCCTACACCCAGCTGTTTGCTGTTAGTTTAATTCACTGGCGTTTGCTTGTTTGTGACTACGAAAATCATTTTATATGATAATGCAAATTACTTATCATATTTGAACACTCTCATTATTTGCTAAAAACATCTAGCAGTGCTGGAACCAGGTCAGGTTGACTTCAGAAGGAAATGGAGATCTTGACTGGTGATACTGGCTTTGCTCACCATGAAGGAACAAAGTCGTCTGAATAGCATTGTTTAACACATTGTTCTCAAAGTTTCTTCTTCAGGTAGAGAAAACAACAACAACGTTTATGAAAGAATCCTCGGCCATCTGAAAGATGACAAAGACTGTAAGTAGTTGTTCAAAGACTTTTTCCACAACATTATTCTGTGAAAAATTCGACATTTTTACCCTAGATATGTAAGAAATATGTGTAATGTTTTGTTTACAAACAGCAGATGTATTTTTTTTATTTTAGATATGTTACAGTGATTATAACATGTCTGTAAAGAAATGTTAGATTTTCCTCTTTGTCTTATCGGGGATCAAACAATTTAGTTCTGCAATAAAAAATGCATTTAATTGAAATCGAAATCTGTGATAATGAAACCTCTTCAATATATGGTATTCTCTGTTAACCCTTTGTGTCCTTAGGGAAAAATACAACAATCAAGTCACTGTTCATTAAGGAGAACCAGCAGATAATTGACCAGCAGTACTGTGTGAAGGATCACTGTGGGTAAGCTGGAGGTTAAAGCCTTCCAAATTTCTCATCTTTCTCAAAGCCAGTCCCTAATTAAGGCCAGATGTTCGGCACGAATATCAGTCATGAAAACAGAAACGATGACAAGTCCAGAAGAAAATACTACCTCGGACTTAATTTTGAATACGTAACATGGTGATGTTAAGATAAATCTTTTTCCATGTTTTACATTTTTCAGGAAAAAGTATTTTTTACTCACTCAATTCAGTTCAATTCTATTCAAGGTGCTTTATTAGCATGACCGATGGGTACAATCAGCGTTGCCAAAGCAAAAAAAAATGATATTCACATGAAACAAAACAAAAAATAAAAGTAAAATAAAATCTACAGACATTTACAACAAAGACATATCATAAAATATTTACATATACTGTAGACCGATTGAGCATTATTGGGAGACAGACTCACTGTTCCTCAGGCTGTGACAGGAGATCACATACTTGGCTGCCAGTTCAACTGAGTTCCCTCCTCCCTCTCCCAGTAGGATTGGGACCCGTTGTGATTCTGGCAGGTGTGGGAACTCTGGGATGAGATTTCTGAATTTAGGGAAGAATGTTTCTCTAATCCCAGAGTATCTGTCACAGTGCACTCTCTCTCACATTCTCCTGCTCCATCCTTTACAGTCAGGCCTGTCATTACGCTCAGTCTTATCTTCAGATGCTCCTTCTGATCAGGAGCATCTTTTTATTGATCAGCACTTAAGTACAGTAGCACCATGGTGTTACTTAGATTCAGGTAGCTATGCTAATGATCTGCCAGTGAGTTCCAATGCACACATCTAGATAAGGAGCTTTCACCTAATACAAACCTCTGGTTACTGCACTCATCTAATTGGATACATAATTCTGTTGTAGATTTTTAGTAAATCTTTGTGCAGGAGGCCTATATACCTATATCTTAAACAGCTGGTGTCCCAGAACTCAACACAAGAGCAGAACGTTCAGGTAGCATCTTATAGTATGGAGAGAAAGTGTTGATTGTGAACAATTACTACAGGAGCAGGGGTTCTGCTGTGACTATGCAAATTAACTATTGTACAGAGTCTGACTTGAGATGTCTCAAGAAGTCTCAACTCAAAAACTTTCGACGGGGGATTTTTTTGGACAGGTCCCCTGATTTCCAAAGGCAGAGCACTGGCTTGGTCACCCATGTCACCTGACCTGAACCCGTGCTATATTTGTCTGGCAGGATGCCTGAAACTTTGTAACTCTCACACTGTAGATTTAAATGTAACTGCCCCCCTTTGGAATGTAACTGAAAACAATGAAGGACATATGAATATGTCTGAAAGGAGTAAATTTCTATTTTACATACATGATACTTGAGTGACACATCTTGCTAAGACTGATAAATTGTCACCCTGCACATTTAACTGATGTTTTTGATGTTTGTAGAGTTAGGACCTGTTACTCTGACTTTGAATATTCTTTACCCATTGATCTCATTTGCAGGGCAATTTTAGAAAACATCTTCTGTGCTGAACGCATTTCAGTGTGTTCTTTGTAGTTCTGTCTGGGAATTACTGTAGGATTCTTACTTGAAGAAATGCACCATTGAAGTTACATTTGCTGTGTGTTGTTTCTTTTTCTGTTAAAGAGGATTGAAATACACTTTCACTTTCAAGGAGTTACACTTTGAAACAGTCATCAGTCTGGAACTTAAGTTAATTTATTCATTTAAATAATTGATCAATTAAACAGTCTCAACTAATACCCTTTTTAAGAACTCCACTCGACAGCAGCCAGTAACACAAATGTACATTTTTCAGTTAGTGAAAGACATATTTAAACCAAGCTGGTATTTGTCTTGGAAATCGACAAACCAGCTTTAAATTGATTATGCTGAACATCATCACACTAAATAATTTAGAGGTTCATTTTTGTATTTTTTTAAGTACATCTAACTTAAAAAAAGTCCAGCGCAGAACAGAGAGACACTCAGATTTCAAAAACAAATATGTCACAGGCTTTAAAATAATAGTGTTTTATCTTTGTTCTGCTTGTCCATCTTGTGCTTTTTCAGATTTCTGTGTATATATATTTAAAGGAAAAAGAAATATGACTTTTTGGTGTTTTCATAAATAGGCAGGAACTGATATTTATATTGGCCACATAAGAGGCTGTGCTGTTATCACAAAAATGTTCAGCGCTGAGTTCCAAGATATCTTTCCATTAATGTACACTGTTCTCACTCTCTGCCTTACAGGTCTTTGCGTTAATCTTTCATTTTTGCCTTTGTGTGAAATGTGTAGGTCTGGGAACTACACCTATGTCATTCCCATTAGCAAGTACATGCATGAGGACATGCGAGTCACACTGCAGATGAAGTAAGTGGGGGGTGGGTCTTTTCTGAAGTGGTTTGTTTGACTGAAATATTGTATCCTGCCTCGTCTTCTGCCACCAGCCGTCAGAATGTCTCTCATTGGGGTGGCTGTTAAACGGAATGTGAGCTCCAGGCCACTCTGGTTTTGGCTGCTGCAGAGCTGCCTATTCAAACGCCGACATATTTATTGGTTTGGACTTACTGCAGTCAGAGACCGCTGTTGACGGTGCAGGGACTGACAGGGAGATACTCACTGATGGATTTAATGCAAGGAACAGTTTTGAGCTCTTTATGAGCATAAGCACATTCCAATGGGTGAATAAGAATGTAAGAGTCCTTTTACACAACAAATTGGTTAATCTAACCCCTTTGGTTGCTGGTAGGTGACTGTTCCAAGGATCTCATCCAGCCATTTCTTGGAAAACATTAGGAAATCAGCTTCATACTTCATAAATTTGTTTCATATTTTCACAAGCCTTTGTGCAAATAAATGCCAACTGTACTTGGCTTTAAATTGGATTTTAGTTTGTAAGTGCATTTGTGGTTTGCGAGTACTTGAATCAAGTTTCCTTCGTAGTTATTTTAAAGGCAGCGAACACACCACGTTTCTGTACTTTTGACCCTCCAGTATAGGATATTCTTTTAAGCTTAGGAAAGCTTAAAGCTTTCTGCTTTTTCTCCTCTGGACTGATTTCAGAGCAGCAATTATTTTTTAGATGTGGTGACTAGAATTGTGCACAATATTCTGAATGGTGCCATACTAGTTTATTGTATGATTTTAATGCAATTTAAATTATTCACTTTTAATTCTGTATTCTAACTTTTGTGTTGGCCTTATTTTATTACTCCTCTAAATTATCTAAAATATGTAAATGATGTGTCAGTTTAAGGTCCTAAATCTTTTTCATAGATTGTTTCTTCAAATGTAGTGTTTCCCATTGTGGATCTATAGTATATGTTTTTGCTACCTGCATGTAGTGCACTTGTCTGTATTAAGCAATAATCTACTAGGAGTTTGCCCAGTGTTAAATTCTAAATCTAAATCTGTTTTCTTTCATGCTTTTACAATGTTGCTAATCCTCCTAGTTTGGAATCATCTAAAAACCTGACTAGTTTACTTACTTTAAAAGAATGTAGATCTTCATATACATTAAGAAAAGCAGGGGTCCAAGTACAGATCTATGTGGTACCCCTCTAGCTATGTCACCCCAAAATACATTTTACCATATTCTTTCTGGTTCTTTTGTTACTATAATGCTGAAAGAACTTTTTATTATGACTTTTTTCCTCTCTATCTCTTTCTAGTCCCTTTCTAATATCCTTTTATTTTACATGCACCTGCAAACCATTTTATTGATATGGACATGGTCTAGGAAAATATTGGAAAAAAAATAATTACACTTAAATAAAATAAAAGGAAAAGGCCAACATGCAGACAGAACCAGCCCGTGACAGTCTCCATAGCCATAGCTTCAAAAGCCATTTCTTCGGATTATTTTTACGCAATTGTAATATAACCTGTAATATAACCACTATGTTGTGAAGTTGTTTGTTCTCAACTAGCCTTACTTAACCCCATAGGTAACACACAGTACCAGGTTGAAAGTGTCTCATCAGATCACTACTGTCTGACCCCTCTGTGTTCTGTTCCCTCTGCAGCACCACTGAAGCACTAGTCATATACCTGTGCAAGAGCTCCAAAGGGACAGACTGCATGGGATTGCAAGAAGAGAATAGTCCTGAAAACCTATTGAGTAACACACAGGTAACTGGCTTCTCTTAAATACTAAGCAGGCCAGGACTGACAATACTGACCAGACACAACAGCTAAACATAGCATGGAAATTTGGTTGCCTCCAGCCTACTCTTCCGATGCAGCCTTTAAGCTTTATTTCACTTCTACAAATATTTCTTTGTTGTTCTGGAAGCCTGTGACCTAATTAGACCTCCTGTGGACTCTACATATGCACTGTATTGTTGCTTTTTTCCCTCGTGAAAAACATTTGAGAACAAAGCATTCAATCATTGCGCTAAACAAAATAGCATCAAACGCATATGGCATCTGCTTCATAGTTGCTCTGAATAAGAACGGGTGTTGCTAACTCACTGCAAGGGCACCTGGCTGAGTGTGGCCAGAGATGATGGGTCAAAATAATGGGTACGGCCTGCCTTTGCAGTATATCGAGAACAACGCAGTGTTGAGCACAGGAGACAGTGTCTACAAAGGTACACAGAGCTCAGGCCTGGTTTTCTGACCAACACATCTTGCTTTGAGAAGGTCACATTCACAGACTAGGCTTTCATTATACTGGTCGAGAATGTTATACCTGAGATGCACATACTCTACCTAGAGGTAGATCTCTAGGGTCACGCAAAAAGGATTATTACAGAGTAGGGACTAAATAAGCATACAGTTGCATATTGTGTGCAAAAAAATTCACTCTTGTATTTGAGGTCCTTGGCTAAGGACGCAAACTGTACATTACTGATGTTTGCCATTCAAGCACAATCCATTAGAGGGCAGTGTGGCCACCAATCAGGTCCAGGAGTAATTGTAGCCGTCATTTCAAAATGGTTGCTCTTAACAACTGAACAGCCAATATGCCTTTTGCTTTTTCTTTACCTTCCCCAGGGATATGAGCACATATGGCCCCTGCCTGTGGCGCACCTGCATTGGAGTTCTTACCATTTCCGAGTGGTGGTAGCGGTAAGGGCTTTTAATAAATTGAACCTGACTTTTTTGTTTGCCTTCTTAATGAGAATTACAGGCAGCTATTTAATGATGGCAAAAACGTATTATTTGGAGCTCGGTGGTTTGTTTAACCCTTGAAAGCATAGTTCTGCCACACTTTAAGTAAAGGTATGGGACTGGGGGAAGGGTTAGGGTGAGGGAATGATTTAAAGTGAGTGCTTTGCATTACAGGATAGGTTGAGATAAGCATATCTGCGTCAAAGGATGTTTGGGTTGTGTGATAGGGCTAGGGTTTGGGGCCAGGGCTGATTTTAGAGTTGGAACTAGGGCCGGGGCTGTGGGATTGAGGTCATAGTTTGGCAGATAGTGGGAGCTAGGACTGAGGTTGGAATCTGGGAAAGGATAGGTGTGAAAGTCAGAGTTAGGGAATGATTTTAGGAATCGGCAATTTCCCATAATATGTCAATTGATTTATCTTGCATTTCTGACTTCCAAGCACAATGTAATGTAAGTCTGTCATATGCTCTGTATGACAGTATTCACAGCTGCAGTGCTAAACAGTCCGTCACTTAGAGTTTATAGTATAGTCACTGACATTTCCTTATTTTACGTGTTTGTTTAGTTAATATTGAGTGTAGTTAAACACAGGGTCCCTAAAGCTTTATGTTTAATAAATAATGATCTCTACAGCTCTCTTAAAGTAAGGTTTAAGGCTAATACTTAGAGTATACAGTAGGACCAGAATGTGGGATAGGATCGTTGTTACTTTTGAAATTAAAAGTAATTTCAAAAGTTCAATACTTTGTAATTTATGGCTAGATTGTAGGTGAGCATTATGGTAATCATTAGGCTGAATGTTTATTATTTTCAAGACTAGGGGTTTGGGGCTATAACTTGATTTGATTCTGGACTTATTTTAAAGCTAAGAACATTAGAATTGTTTCAATTTTAGGGTCAAATTTAGGTTGTACATGAGGATGTTATGCTTACCAAAATGATCTATCCTGCACCTTGATTGTTCTGATTCTATTGTGCGAGACTATGATATATCCGCAGTAATCCTCTTGTATCCTGAGATTACAGATCCATCTGGAACTTGATTTATGCTATTAGCACTACAAAAACTGAATCCTGTTTTAATTCTTTAACCATGTGATAATACTGCCAGCTGTAGATGGATAAACTGGTTAAGACTTGGAAAGAAAAATATGAAATGTGTTTGTTTCCCACAGGGACAAGCCAATTGCAACACAGACCCTAACTATGTTGGAGTGCTGTTCACAGACTATCACGTCTACTTCTATCGAAGATGCACCTGATTACACCTCAGGTGTATCTACACCTTTCAAACAGAGGTGTAGAGTCTTTGCTCTCTGCTGTAGGTGAACTATGTTCGTCCAGTGACACAGCGTGTCAGTGTATTTCTGTGAAATATATGTAAAAATAAAAGTGCACATTGTATGGTTTGTACATGCAGAGCTGTGATGAAATGACTGTTATGAACCAAAAAGATTGCCACAGACATTTTTTTGTTATTATGTTCCCTTACATAAAATCAGGTAGATTTGGTTTTACTCAAAGCACGCCGATTAATAAAAGTATTGGTCCCTCTGGGAAAGTGAGATCACTTTCACTGATCACCAGAATGTTTCAGTCTTCAAAGTAATCACAATTAATGTTGTTTATTCCTGTTCAATACTTTGTAATTTTTCTCAACTGCTGCCAGGAGAAATTGAAATGTAGTCTTATATCCACGGATTTATCAGAAAATAATTACAAAAATATATAGTTATGTTCATAATAGGCTGGCATTACGTTTCTGTTTCAGTACATTGTTCTCAGTTTTAAATTGTGATGAATACTATCCTCTTATATATAATGCAAAAAAACTTACAACGTTGTTCCACTAGAGGGCAGTACAATGTCCTAAAGAGGAAGTGCAAGTCAACAGAATTAATTTTGTTTATGCCTGCTTCCTGCTGCAAGACTTATACATTAATGTTACAGTCAAACCTTGGGGTCATGCAAACCAGAGGTTACAAAAAGGTGAAAATTGTATCTACTGAAAATGTTGTATATATTAGATTCTAATTGCTGTCTAGAACAAAGTTTACTGTCTTGAAATAGATTTGCAGTACAGTATGATGTTTGTTCTGTGTTTTCTAAGTTTAACTAGATGCCCACTCAGCTACTGATCATTAACTATAAAGTTAATAGGACCTTTCTGTATTTTTTCTGCCTAGACCCAGACTTGAGTCTGAGCCATAGGTTTCTCATTGCTAAAGTGAGATGTAGTCTGTTGTGTTTTCATTCAGGGATTTGGCTCACTTGCAGTGCATTGTGTTGAAGATCTTTATTTTCCATTTTCTTTAATTTCTTGGACTTTGTTCAGAAAAATACAGCACAATTGTGTACATTTACCACTGAAGCCGACGTATTTTGTTAGATTCCCTGAGTGTATGAAGCCGACTACTCCAGAACAGCCTAACGTGTTTGAAAGGGGAGAACAGAGGAGGGGGAAGGCCTCTGCTCATAGGTTTTGCCATAAGAGTCTCTCCTTTCTTCCACAGCCACGGCTTTGATTACAATATCTTTAATGTTAACCATACAGCAATTCCTTCCACATGACTGAGACATTCTCGCCTTGTTTCTGTCAAGGGAGAGATGAAACCCACTTTAGCTTGGTAATAATAAAGTACACTCTACGTACATACGGCAAGATCATGTGATCCAGATGTCAAAGGGCTGATAGAAATGGTTCATAGACAATGTGCCAGAAGTGTATTACCCTCAGAATGCTTTATTTAAAGTTTCTGAGTGACATCTAGAAAGGGTGTGGAACAGTACACAGTTTTGGCATTTTTCCTGTCGTGTACTGTGCCCAGACCCATGTAAATATCAGCTTAAATTGTGACAGTATGTCATACAGAGACACACCTGGATTCTGGTATTTCCCTTTATAGATATGAAAGTACAGTTTTAACTTTTTTTGGCAATCAGTTGTGCTTTGGCAGCAATCCGTGTATATTGTTCCTGTCAGGTCAAAGCTGTGAAGCCAGTGGTGACCTGGCTTTGTTTCCTTTGAGACGTGCTGCAATCCACCCAGAGGGTCAGAGGCAAAGTAGTAGCACAGGTCCAGGTTTGTCCCAGTCTGAGAAGCCGGAGCCATCCTCTTCAGCTGAGAAAAGGCCGCTGTTCTTTTCTGCAAGGGTGATCACTTCTAGGATGTGCACAGGGTGAAGTAAACATGAACTGGACCAGCGATTGAAAATTAACAGCATTCATGAATATGTTTGCACAGATCACATGTGAAACATGGGATATGCGTAAGCATTGGGGGTGAAAATATGTTGAAAGAAACAAAGAGCCTGATTTGATTGGAGATCCACAGAGCCCAATGTTAATGTCACCCCCTGAACATAGGATGAGACGGGGTGAGGGTGTTGAGAAAGCAGAGGAGGCTGCAGACTCCATTCCATGTTAGTCTGTGGGTTGAGGGAGCAGCGAGGGAGCTTGGTCCTGGAATACAGTGACAGATGGAGCTCCCTCCCAGCTGGGCCCGGCCAGCTCTGCTGAAAGCCATCCACACGTGTCTGGTCTGCTGGCACACTCGCATGCACTCACCACATCTTATTAAGAATGAATGCGAGCGGTATTTACACTTCTCTGCTGACAATACTCAGGAATTCTTTCTTTAATGAAAAAAAAAAACAGTGGTGATTGACATTAGCCATGAGCACCTAGCACAAACAAATGCACCGCTAACAAAGAATGTAAGGGTTCTCTCTTTGTGCAAATGTCAAATTAATAATAGAAGACCTCCTAAATGTTTCAATCCACATGCTATTTAATTTAAGAAGATCTGCAGACAGGCAGGCAGATGACAAAAAGAATAATTTGATTATAAGAATATTGTGATACATGACAATATAAGGTTGGAATGGAATGTTGGGCTTTTTGTGAAGGAAATATAGTGCACTTTATCTGAGAAACACAGAAAACATTGTGGAATGAATCCACTTTAAATCTAATCCGGAAATCAGATTGAAAACAAAGTCCACCAAAGACCTACTGTATACTTCTGGCCAGCTCAGTTAAGGCTGTAGTAATTCAAAAGTTTAAAGCCTGACTTTCACCTAACAGACCAACTTTGCTTCCTCAAATGAAAACAAAACCAACTTCCTTTTATACAGATTTACAACAGTAATAGATAATGATAATTGCTTACACTTATATAGGGTTTTCTGGACTCTCCACTCAAATGACTTTACAGGTCATTGGGACTCCCCTCCACTACCACCAATGTGCAGCCCCACCTGGATAAGAGATAAGATAAGATCACTTTATTGGCCATATACAATTTCTTGTATTAGGAATCTCTCTTTTCACATACCCCAGCTTACTCTCCATGATACACACAGACGGGAAGAGAAGCATCAGCTGTTAGTGTGGGGGAGAAGATGGTGATGAAGACAATTCAGAGATGGGGATTATTAGGAGGCCACAACTGGTAAAGGCCAATGGGAAATTTGGTCAGGACACCCCTACACTTTTTGAGAGACTCCAGAGAGTCAGGACCTCAGATTTTATATCTCATAGGAAGGACAGCACCTTTTTACAGTATAGTGTCCCCGTCACTATACTGGGGCATTGGGACCCACACAGGCTGCAGGGTGAGTGCCCCCTTACTGGCCCCTCTAACACCTCTACCAGCAGCAACCTTAGTTTTTCCCAGGAGGTCTCCCATCCAGGTACTGACCAGGCTCACACCTGCTGAGCTTCAGTAGGCCACCAGGTGTGAGATGCAGGGTGATACGGCTGCTGGCATGGTGAAAGAACACCCAGTATCTACTGTATGTAGAAAACATTTAATTTTTCTATGATAACATTAAAAAGCACTGAGAGTCAAGACTTATAGATGGAATGTATAACAAGTTACCCTGTCTTTATTCATATCCAGTTTCAAGTGTGGCGATAATGGATCTTCCAGGATTACTGGGCAGTTTCTCAGTTACTTTGCTTGCTGCTTTCAGGTTAAAATCAATACTTGAAAGTTGCACCACTGAAGACAAGGTTTACTCAACCATTTTAACATCTTTAGGCTGGATTTTAGCAAATGTTGATGTATAAGGAACTGGTGAGTTTTAAATCAATTTTGATGTCTCTCAATGAGTATATCTCAACACACCTTTATAAAGTCACACTCTTCCCAGCATACACAAATATTTGGAAACTCTCAAAGGAATATAGGTCATCCTCTACTTTTGTTACTGTGTAATTGGTGAAGCTGTTCAAATGTTTATTTTAGAATTGAACTTAAAACGTATACCAAGTACTCTTGGTTTAGCTGGTTAATAAAAACACTGGAACTTTTTGATGGCATTCCAGGAGGTCTCTTGTTCTTCGCAAGTAGTTGTTGTCCTTGAGGACAGCTGTGTCAATTTCCATCCAGCTGTGCATCTTGACATCTGTGTTCTGTGCTTGACATCTGCACTATATTAAATTATACAGGCTGTTGGCAATTTTCCTTTTACTCTGTGTTTTTAATGCTACCAAGGTACATTTCTGCCAAAGAGCTTTGGTCACTTGTGGTTTTGAAGCTATGAGGGTCTTTATTTAACAGTGCTTGGGTTTGCCTGTACCCCTGAAGGTCAGGGACAATGACGAGTGCTTCAGTCACTGATTCACTTGTGATCTTTACGGAGCAGTAAATGTCTAGGCTTTTTTGGAAGCATTTGAAGACCAGTTTAATTTCATGCACAAAAGCTCTTTCAGTGTTTCATTGGAGTCTTGACAAGTAGCAGCTGCTAGGCTTGGAGATCCCCAAGGCTTAATTCTCAGTCCCCTCTACAATATTGTTTTAACACAGATGAATGTAATCCAACTTTCATGTTATTGCTGTAAATACCGAGACACACTGGCTACCGTGTTATTTACCTTCCATTGAAATGTAAGATTGTAAGCTCCTTCATTGCAAAGTAGTTCTCGGTTCAGTTGGTGATATTGTTACAGGGGTTATGCTGTGGAGGGGCAGATTTGGCTGTGTTACCAGATCCTTCAGTGTTGTGTTTTACTACCCAATGGAAAGTCTCCTTATTACTATGTGTTTTGATTTTACCATCCCAGTGCCTTTGTAGGACAAAGTATAAGAAAATATCATGGCATTTCAAGCTCAAAATACATTGGCTTTCATGGTTCTCAGAAAACACTCACCTATGAGTTGTGTGCAAGCACTTCAGTTTTCATTTCCATGGGAGTCACCAACAGGGGTGTGATTTTGACAATTAGATGGTGACGCAATCTAGTAAAGAACTTTTTGCCCAATACATCAAAATGCTTCAGAAAGACCTCTGTCTCTCTCTGCTAGTAGCAGTCAAAATTGTAGTATTCTGAATGTTCTCTTGTGGCTCATCTGGTGAAGGAATGTGCTCAGGCAGACTTTTGAGTTCTGTGTCCTTGAAGTGTCTGGTTCGAGCCTGGTTCATGTCACTAGATGTCACTAGGTGACTGGTATTCCTCAGGTAGCAAGTGATGGTCCAGGTTCTGCTGTAGGTCAGACAGGTTTAGTCAGCTACAGTTTCCTTAGCATTCAGTGTAACAGCACACCCTGACCCTGACTAAGTTGCCTATAAAAAATTGCAATGACATCAATGGGAGACAGGCAGCTCCTCCAGTTGGTGCTAACTCTTCTGCAAGACATGCCCTGTGTCAAATGATAAATGCCTTTGACAGATGGGCATGTCAGAAGAGCACGTTATTCCCATGCAGATGGAGCCATGCTGCTGAGTTGATAGCCAATTGGTGATTGCACATTGGACAGGTATTGTATAAAAGAGAAAGAGCTCAGTCTTTTTGTGACAGATGGTGGCCTGGCTCGCACTGGCCTTTCAAGGCAAACCCGTGAAAACAGTCATGATGGCCCAACTTTGCAATAGACTAGCCAGTGAACCACTTTGAGCGTATCTTTGGAAATGTGTGTCAGTTTACCTAAAAACCTAACCTAAAAGCAGTAAAAAATATCAATTCCACTCAGATTGTGCCTGTACTATGAATGGGTCCAGAATAAACAGATGTTCTTTTAAGCATGGGTGACTTTTTTGCTTCTGCCAAAACTCAGTATATACCACATGCTATATACTATTTGGAAATAACAATCAACACCACTGATTAAAAACATCTGACGGAGGAAATATATGGCCTATACAGACACAATTTGATCATGTAGATGTGCAGGCAAGATATCATATTTCTTGGCTCTGTCCCGGTGGATATGAATGCTTGTTAAGGTCTTTCGTATTGGCAACTAAGAAAGTAAATCTCAGTAATCTAATTCAAGGTAGTATGGTTGTATAACACATTCAATTTATTGGAAATAGCAAGTCATATATCAAAATACACATGAGATATTAACTCTGAACAACATTTAAAATAAGTCAAATCATCGTCTGGTGTACTTATTATGATTTCTGTGTGTTTCTCACAGAATACAGACTTGTAAAAGACCTGTTTCCTATTACAGTGGTGAAAACAATTGCATTAAAATTATACTTCTAGTGAATAAATATCATAGTATTTCAGAGAAAGGGATACTCTTACACAATTGGGATTAATATTTTTGTTACAAGAAGAGTAGACTTAAAAACTCAATGTCAATTAAGACTATTTTTAAGTATTATACTATTGTTGCAATATTTTGAATGCAGTTTTGTTGTTGAAAGCTCTGCGTATGGCTCGTTATATTCAGCAGTTATAAACAGGCCACTCAATTTTCAAATTGATCTTGAAGAAAATAATTGTCCCCCGCTTCACGAAAGAAATCAGAAAAGGGTGAAGGTGCTAATGGAGGCAACATATAAATGGATGTCTTAAACACATATTTGGAAAATCATCTGAAATGTGTCTGAGATTAGAGAAATATGGAGCACATTTTAGAAAAATAAACTTCCCATGTTGACCTTAAAATGTTAACGTTGATGATGGCTACTGAGAGACTCATTAAAGGCTTTGGGAACTGACTGAGCTCTGAAAGACGGACTTTGACTAAAAGGCTCTTACCGACTGGGACTAGGGTTGACCAAGGTATGGTTTGCTCCCTTGTCTCCCAGTTTCCTTGGCACCTGCAGGCCTCTGCTCTGGCAGCTAGTGCCAAAGTCTTCTGTATACTGTACGTCCGTAGAACTTGCAGCTTGCCAGGAGATGATTGATGAATGAACTGAGACAGCAACACACAAGCCAATCGGTGATCCCAAGATGGGTGGGTCGTGATAATAAAAATATTTAGTACAATTAATATTTAATGCATTAAATGCCTTAAAGCATGATACATGGAAAGAGGAAACTACAACAAAGCATAGCCAATATAGTTCTGGTGCACTTTGGCTGCTGGTGCATCATCCAGGTGGGGCTACACATTGGTGGTGATGGAGTCTATTTATTTCATTCTATTTATTTTCGCCAGGGCACATGACGGGAGTGCTCTTAATCATTTAAAAATAAAAGGAGAAATTAAAAAAAAAAGAAAAACTAAAGTAACTGTGAAGCAATGACACTGCACCGCTACTGGTGTAGCGTGTTATCCTAACCTATGGCTCTTATGACTTATTCAGTGAGAACTGGTCATTCTCAGAAGACTAATTAGCCAGTGGCTACGAGAATAAGATTGATGATAAGAGGGGAGCCAAGTCACCTGAGAGGAAATGCATCTTTCTGCTCCACTTGAGAGTGGAAGAGAAACAGTAGATTCTTCTCGGATGCATTATTTAAGAAAGAAGCAATGTTGCTGAGCAGGACAGGCAGGACAGCCGCCAGCAGCAGTCAGAGTGACGGCGGCGCATCCCAGACCCCGTGCTTCAGCTCAGGACCCTCACAGGGACCCACACACCAACAGCCAGCATGGAAAAAGAGGGCGAGGTGAGTTGCGTTATAAAAAGAAAGCTGTTAATTGGCTCGAATGAAAATTGAATATTTGTGAAGTAACGTCCAATGGCACCTGCATTTCACATGGACAGAAACAGAAAAATAATGAAAAACAGCATATGGACAGTAAGCGAAAAGTGTGTATATGTGTTTGTCATTAGTGGTTAACTTGACAGCTATGTTTTGAACACAGTTTTTCGAAGAGGTTTCATGACAAGTTATGAATATAACATGCATTGTCTTTATATGTTCTTCACACATTCGATGCAAATTTTAAAAGGGTAGACTTTTATCTTTCTGCCAATGGAACGGCACACTGCATGTAACACAGTAAAGGAACAAGTAATAGGTTTATTCCATGCTGAAAAAAAGAAGAAAGAGAACACAACGTTTCGGCCGTGGAGACTTCTTCAGGTGTCCTGAAGATACACCTTCAGGGACACCTGAAGAAGGCTTCACGTCCGAAACATTGAGTTCTCTTTCTTCTTTATTTCAGCATGGAATAAACCTATTACTTGTTCCTTTGCAGCCTACGCTTGCTGACGCAGCTACCCACCTTGACATGTAACACAGTAGCTGTTTTCGCAATAAATGTACGGTACAGGACTATATGAAGCAACCCATAGCTGTTTTGTACCCATGTGAAAAAGGAAAGGTTAACACACATACAATAATATACAAGCATGCATGCATCAAATTAAACACCAAAATAATCTAATCTTCTTACCAATGTTACTAAGAAAATGTAATTTATGTTTTTACAATGAACTCAATGCAACTTTCAATATCTTCCTTTATCTGCAAATGTTATGGCATATTTAGGTGATTTTGCAATACTTTACTTTACAGAACTGGGGTCAGCAGCTGATGGGATGGATCCTGGTTTTATTTACACACATGCACTAATCTCCCAGTTCTCCTACTGAGTTCTCCCAGTAGAGATTTACAAGTGTAGTCAAGGCTAAGCAATAAAAACAAAGCTTTCCATTCGTGCTTTGTCTTTGATAGAAATGGAATTCATCTACCAATAATGAATTAATTTCCTCTGCTTTGCTCAGGATGAGTTCAATGCAAAACGAATTCAGCAAAAGAGCAGTTCAGCCAGGGCTGTCATTTCCAATCCTGTAAAAACAAGTCAGGAAACACTTCAAAGCACATTCATATGGCACGCTTCACTTCAGCCTTCCACATACAGTACACTACGCCACTAATCATGTCTGCCTGAGCAGCCCGCATCCCATCTGATAACTCATAAACACTCATCAACACCCAGAAACAGATTTTGTCATTCTCCTCAATCAGTGCCTTCTTGGCTGGCGTTGGCCTTGTCCTCCTGAGCCTCCACCTGCTGCTTTTTGGCAGGGCAAATGGCAGCTACACTCTGTCCCTGTCTTGTGGGGCTGGTCACAACCTGGCACGCTAGCACTGACAAGCAGCTCGAGGGCAGGAGCAGCTCGAAGGCCAAGACAATGTGTTGTGTGTGACATGGTAGTTTGTGTGGGTCTGTAGCAAATTCAAATGAGAGCTGCATGCATTTTTACACTGCACGAAATATGGGCTGTTTGTGAAGCTCCTGGAGACTAATAGACCAGATAGACTCCAGATCCAGTCTATTCTGTTGATGGCTGAGAGACTGCTGGTCTCGGAGAGAGATATGATAGTTTCAAGAGTGCTCTTGTGTTATAGCAACATGTCCTAAAATAAGAAAATATATGTATATGTATATATTGGGGGAATATGAGGTATCCTTGGATCTAAGGCAGAATTTTTAAGGCTTCCTAACTGAATGGGGATAATATGTATTGTTTTGGAGGATGTGATGCTACCTCCTGCTTCCTTTGTGAAGATCACATCACTCACCGGTACAGTACTTTTTTTAGCCCAAGCCTTACTGCACCTGAGTGAAGATAATGCAGTAAATAACTTCAAAGCAACTGCAGGAGGCCAGGTGTCGAGTTCCTCCCACAGCAGCACTCTCACACTGCCGGGAGATTTGATTACAGCTAACAATAGTGACAGACGTGAAACAAGGCTCCGTTTACTCTGCTCTTCCTCTGGAGTCAGCAGTGAATGATTCACAGATGAGGGAGATGTCAGGAAAAAGCGAGAGAAGAGAAGAGCTCCTTGGGGAAAAAAAAAAAGTTTGGACAATTACTGGGCAAAATCAAAAAGACTGAAAAATCTTTGTTTTTAATTTTTACAGCCACTACCTCTGCCTTATTTACTTTAGCAGGGGATAAATGAATGTTGTTATTAATTACATTTAACCAAACAAAAAGTGTTGTTCTGCATCAGACTGGGCTGTGGAGTAACTGTCTTGAGATATTTTGCTAGGAAAGGTGTTGTCCTATATCAGGTAAATAGACTGAATCCAATGTATTTGTTGTATCAAAAACATAAAGTCAATAGACTGGATCTGGGCTTTGTCTGGTATATAATTCTCCACGTGTTTTACAAACAGCCCACGTTTCATTCTGTGTAATAGTTTACTATTGACTTACATGTTACAATGTCACAGTGCTTATGTCACAGTTATTTTGAGCTGCCTGTGCCCTCAAAGTAATTGTCAGTGCCTAGCATGTCTACATACTGTATACTGTAGAATCTACTACAGATTCTGAAAGTGTCTTAGCCTAACATAGTCCAGAAACCAACATAACACTTCTGCTACTGTCTCATGTTAGATTTGACCTTCACTATTACTACTTAAAACAATACCAATAATGCATCACACTTTCATAGAATCCAGTTAACCTAACAGCATGTCTTTGGACTGTGGGAGGAAACCCATGTGAACACGGGTAGAACATACAAACTCCATGTAGATAGCCCAGTGCTGAGAGGCAGTGCTAATCACTGGACACCTGAAGAAGGCTCCACGGCCGAAACGTTGTGTTCTCTTTCTCCTTTTTTTCAGCATGGAATAAACCTATTACTTGTTCCTTTGCAGCCTACGCATGCTGACGCAGCTACCCACCTGAACTACTATGCTACTGTGTCACTTGACAGTGATATGTATTCTACTATACACTGTATACCATATATAACTCATTGACAAACCTTACAAGAAAGTTAAATTACTTTTGTAATGTTTATTTTGAAATCTGTCAACATTTGCAGACTGGAGATAGGTTTCCTGAAATGACACAATGTGAATGTCCTCCTGGTGTAAAGAATCAGAACAGACAGATACTGTACATATATATTTATATCTGGTTATGTGCAACAAACCAGATATAAATCTGGTTTGTTGCACATACTGTACACCAAACTGAAAAAAAAAACACACACACACTAGGAGAGAACACAACATAATATTCTTCATCCCATGACAAACAAATAACATGATTACATGAAGAAAACTAAAGGAAAATGTTCATGTTAGGCTGCCTCATAATAATATAAAAACAACATACCCTCATTACTTCAATGGGCATGGTGATGTGTGGCCAGCAAGGGTGGTCACTTTCATGCTATGATCTGAAAAATATGAATAGAATCATATCCCCTGGCTCACTCTGGCAGGTCAACAACAGACAACAAGGGCAGTTTGGCTAGAAACAATTTAAATGCGGCATGTCCTTCTCTAAATCTCTAACGCCTTCATGGTTCTGATCTCGTCAATAATGATATCAATGTCTAAAACTGTTCCACCTGAAGGATATCCAACTACTTATCCTTTTTTGCTTTTGGTGGTGGCACAGTTGTTGCAGTTTTCTTCTTTAGCTGCTGAAGACAGCTCTGGACAGTCCCCAGAGTGGTGCAGACAGTTTGAACATCAAAAAAGAAACTGGTTCACAGAGAGTGCCTGAGACGACCTGTCATAAAATCCCTCAGTGAGTGACAGTATGCATCAGAGAGCCATGGTACTGTAATTCCTGCAGTTGGGGATTGTAGCAAAGTGCAGTGTCTTCAGTTACAAGCTACGCGTAAAGCAGCTGCTTCCTGGTTGAATTCTGTGGGAGAGGGTGTCTAGTTCCATTGCCAGTCTCACTTTTCAAAGTGGTCGTAGGCATATAGGTAGTCTCACATTAAAATTTAACCTGATTTTTTTTAAATTTAGAATCACCAATATGTTATACCCACCCAATTTTGAATAGTCAGTTGTGTGTTTTTCATGTCTCAGTTTGTAGCTACAAAGCACATAATTGCATTCAGGGAAGCATGAAGAAATGTACACAGACTCCTCCAATGCACACACTTTCTAGCCACTCATCTTTTAACACATCACAAGCAACACAGCTCTGTGCTACTGGTTCACAGAGAACTGCACCTCTCACTGACTGTACTGCGTGACTACACGTACTCAGAAGGCTGTGAGGGTCATTAAAAGCAGAGAGACCTCGGACTGCATATTCCACAATATCCTGAGCAGCACTTAGCCAATTGTGTGCCACTGCCGGGGGTCACAATCACTATAAGCTAATGTAATGACCCCTTGCTTATACACTATATCTTCATCCATGTTTTGGTGAGTGTCTTTGTCAGTTGAGCCACTTGAGAGTCCTAAATTTAACTTGGTTTTTATATATAAATGAGCACTGAGTATGAGTCTCAGCCTCCTATATTTCAGGATAATAGAGCAGCATCTATCTCTAACTCCGAAGTCCACTCAGATGAATAGGGCTCATAAAATCAGATCTAGAAAGCAAGAAAGAAACATTTGATATCTACAAAATAATACACTGAAATAAAATAAATATCTGTGACAGAAAATGTGCAGATGTGACCTGTGTGAAAACAGACACGACACTTGATAAAGTGTACGAGCTACAGATCTAACAAGCAAAAATTATTTGAATAGATGAACCAACATTTCCATGAATCATTTGCCTAGGCATTAGAAATGTTTGCAGGACAAACAACAGAAAGCAATACACTTGCATTTAAGTTTTGTCTTACTAAATGTTATTAGATAAATATAAAGTTGATTATACAAATACAAAAATGATATACAGCAGAATCAACAGCACATAAAGGTAAGTGAGCAACAGCACAAGCAATCATTAAACATTCACATGCATTGGTTTCAACTACAGGTCCTCACAGATGTGATTGGATTGCATCCTTATTCAGACAGGGAGAATTTTGCTCTGATTCAAGAGCAGATGACAGAGCACTCTGACCTTGTGGAGACCAGGTAAGACTTAGTTACGTCACACCTGACACCACTCTTTGTATAACACTCATGCAATCTGCCACTTCAAGGTGTAAAAAGAACTTCCTATTTAAAAGATCAGGTTATATTCCCAGGAGTATGAGCCTTCTCTACACGGCAAAAACAAAATCAGGGAACTGCACATTCACAACTCCAACTCCAGACATTTTATCCTTTAACCAAGATGTTTCTGACCAATGATAATATGAGAATACTACCTCTGATGATCAACCCTTCAGGGTCAATTTAAAATGCCTGTTGTGGAGCACAAAAAACAACATGTGATTTTACACAGATTGAAGCAATTAAGATGCTGGAATAAAAAAGTGGGGTTAACCACTTAAATGTAACTGGGCTTTCAAAATCAGTTTAAACTAACGGCTTCCAACTTGGCTTCTTTTCCATTGCCTAATTGCCCTTAGAAACTGAGCCCCCAACATGAATTTTTGCATTTTAAAGAATCCAAAACGTTGGCTCTGTTGGCTACTTATAGTTATCTGGTGTAGATAAAGGAGCAAAAAAGTACAGCACTTGGCACACATTTCTTCTGTTGAGACAAAGATATTTTCACTGCCTACTTGTAAACGGAAGTTGGCTCAGGGCAGCTCTGGCATCTAATGTTTTGATGTTTTCTTGTTATCTGTCCTCACAATAAAAGCTCTGTCCTATATTCTTAAGAGCTGTACACTTTGTTATTAAACATTTACTTGCAAACTGTTTTGAGCTGTGCCCATGTCTTTTCTAGTGGAGAGCTTGCCAAGTTTAAAATTATTGGAACTCTGGAACTCCTCTGAAGCCTTTTGTTTCTGCATTCTCCTGTTTGTTTCCATATTTGTAATCTGTGATTTGGTAGGTTTCTACTGTTATGAGAAGTTATGTTAAGTCAAGCATGAGAAACTGAAGAACTGTAGTGACAATGCTACTGTAAAACTGGATCGAGACTGACTCTAAGGCACCTCAAGTAAAGCACTGTTAAGAGACACTTGTGCAACTCTAGAATAATTCTTTACTTCAGTTCATTTTCCAGAAGAATTTCTTTCTACTTTATCTCATAAATAATTTAAACGCTAAAAGCAACTTACAAATTAAAAGGCAAATCCATACTTTCAGCTGTACCAGGTAATGAATTCCTAGGGACTATATCTAGTGCTGAAGACGTGAAAACAGCAGATTTATTTTATTCCCACTGATGAAGAACTGTGATCCTACCTCTGGGTGTTTAGAAAGGAAAAGAGGGTGCATAGTTTTGAGTAATTTTACTGGGTCACAATTGATCAACAAACAAATATCCTCCATATAATTTACATGAAGCTGCCTTTATCACCATTTAAAGCACAGCATTTTAAATGCCTGTTGCTCGGCATAACAGACTCTTTGTATCATTTGCATCTTGTCATCTAATCTGCCCCTGCCATTGTACTTCTGCAGACATGTAAAATAAGATTACTGAAACATGTTACCCGAGGCTCATGTAAGTATACCGGGCATTTTAATATTGTTTACAGCTCACTACTTGAAACAGGAGAGCACAAATCATTAGACTGCTTTTGTCACCAGATGAAGGAAAATACTTGGACTTGAGAAAGCCGGTAAAGGTAGAAGGAAATATGTATTGAGCGTCCAAGGGCCATCATGGAACTCTGTGCATAGGATGGTTTATCCAGAACGCAGTCGTTTTCCAGCACTCTCTCATCAACTTCAGTGGTGCCTGGGCATCAGAATCAGCTCTTGTTTTTAGTTTTCATTGTGAACCGTGAAGAAGCAGAGGAAGAATGAAGAGAGAAAATGCACAAAAAAAAGTATTAGAACAAAAAAGCAATTTAAGAAAAACTGGATTGCAATTTAAGCCAAACTGGATGACAGTTTTTTTCCCCCACACTTCCTTTTTTTTCAGACACTCGGGTGAGCAGTCAGGAGAGACTAATGTCAAATGTCAATTTGAGCCCTTGCAGATTCTCAGATGTATGAATTCCTGTCCAGGATAATTCTGTGGGGTTTCTTCAAAAGGTATTTGTCATCATCAGTTGCCTCACACCCTGGCTATGTGCTCTGCAGACCTTTTGTATTTCATTTGAAATGTAACACATCGCTGGCACATCGCAAGGGCAAACAGATGTCTAATTTATTCAGGATGGTTGTGTGTGTGTGTGTGTGTGTTTTTTTTTCTTCAAGAATGAAAAAAGAGAAGAAGGAAAGGGAGGAGAAAGGTCAAACCGGTTTCTCAGAGGAGCAGAGAAGACAAGAGGAGTACTGTCTATTGGCAGAGGTAACACTTTCACACTGAGGGACTCCTTGTAGAAAGCCAAAAGGCGTGCTTCATTCCGACAATCATACCGTTCAGAATAAAAGTTGGCTCTCGGCTTTCACGGGTAAAAAAAGAGAAAAAAAAGAAGAAAAGTTTGCCAGTGGTGCTTGCTTTCCCCTTGTACCGTAAGGCTTTCTCACCAGGTTCCTAGGCTGGAATATGGATGAAAGCTATGGGTTCATTTCTACAGCAGAATAACGTGTGGGACTGGGGTAGACAGCTGCTCACATCTACTACAAATTGACAGCCAAGTGTGACGGTGGCTTTTACAGTGCAAGGTCACTAACTTAATATTACATTCATAACATTCATTGAATCAGAAAATCTTAGCCAATACTCAAGCATTGTCATAAGACACACTGGGGTGCTTCTTCTGCCTTTCAGATCAGGTTTCTTAGTATTTATTTTTCTAATGGGTAACATTACACTCGTGAATGTCTGGAAATTTTAATCTCAGTGTCATGGCCAAATGCACGTCAGGCTTCTGCAATCTGACTGTTTTAAAATCATTTTCCCCCCAACTGATTTTAAGATGAAGTCTGTTTCCTTTCCTAGCTATGACTTTCTTTTATTGTTTGGTCTTTATTTTCTCTAAAGAAGCTGCTTTATATCCATTAAATATAAGAAGAATGAAGGGCTTTTACCAACTGTTCCAACTTCAAATTCAAGGGACTTCTATAATTATATAATTCATGCCTCTAAACAACAAAGAGAAATATAATATGATGAACGTTTTCATTCAACTGACAAAACTATTATTTTTATGTATTTGGGAAATCAAATTTCTGTGATGATGGGACAATTTAGATAGCACTTGAAGTTCATTTCATTTTCAAACCAAATCCTGGAATCTGAGTGTCCCATCAATCACTGTCTATAGATGTCTACAATACTACAGTACAATCACCAGATTCCTCTAGTCATAGTCAATATCCACACCTTAGTTTTGTTAAATTGTGTAAAGCCCCAGAGCAGGCAGGTATCAGATTCCTGAGTGTTAAAGGGTAAATAAATGTGGGATAATGATGAAAACAGCATTACAGCGGTTAGGTATTGCTGGGAGGTTGTTAGACCCACGATTATCTTTGACTTTTGCCTTGTTTGGCTTTAATGAAAGCTGCCAATCTGATTTTTTTTTTCATTTTTCATCCTTGGCATACTCAGTTCTTTTCTGCATTATTTTGACTTTTTAACAGTGAAATCAATTGAGCAGAACATCACTCCGAGAAAAGGATTTTCATGTAGTTCAATTAACCATGGCTGTTAATATTAAATGTCTGGTCAATTGGATTTCTGAATAGTCGTAGAATAAGTGCCAGACGTAATATATCTGAGGTGTCAAGAAGTCACCATTTTTGACTATATAATTCAAACAGGCTCACACTCTGTGTCTTCTATTTTCTGTGTTGGTTTGCTTTAAAAAATGTCTGCTTTCAATGTTTTTTTTTTCAGTTTGTGTCCTAGGCTCCTGCTTTTAGATAATATAATCATCTTTGAGAGAGGAATGCTGTGTGTTTCAAATGAAGAGAAAGGCAATAGATACGCTTGTTGGCCAAGGCTTGACTGTGGCTGCCTGACGAGTTATTCTGAGGGAACTCTGGGAGATTAATGGCACTGACCTTCCTGTGCAGCTTGCCCGCATTGAGCAGGAGCTCAGAGAAAAGTCTCGCAAAGAGCTGGAGAGACAGGAGGCCCTGGAGAGAGCGCGCAGTGAGGCGAACCGTGACAGGTGGAGGAACCTCAGCTATATGGCCCTCAGCCAACGCGTGAACAAGTACGTTCCCATCCGAACGCAGGTACATTCAGTGGCAGACTCTGCAATGTTTGTCTTCTCTGGAATGTTCTTTGAAAATTCTTAGGATTTTTTTTCCCCCCTGTAGTCAAGGGATTTGGTAACTATACAAAAGAAGATCCCCACAATTATTCTACAAAATCCTTTGTGTCGTTTTGTTTTTGCAGGCCATGGGTGTTCAGTTATTTTAAGAACATTCCCATGCACATTTACTGCCAGCCTATCAGAAGACCGCCCCAGGTCCGACACCGCAAGAAGTGGCGATAATCAGTGTAGCCTGGACAGAGCGCTGAGCTGTCCTGCTGCTGGCTGAGGACATGGCTGTGTGCATCTTCATCAGAACGGTTATGGCCCTTTTCAAACCTGTTTGCACTCTAAAACAAAGTAGCATTAGAAGGTTCTGCTTACTAGAATCTTAAAAAAGTCAGAACAGACCCTCATTTGCTTGAATATTGAAAATCATATAAATAGACCTAAAATTGTGAGTCTTTAATTTTGTGCCATTTCCAGCTCACTGTAGTCATTTTATATATTTTTTTCTCATATTAATGCAAGATATTTTATTAAATATCATATTACCAATATCTCTGGGTCAATAAAAGTAGTGATTTCATCATAAGAACACAATGAAGAATGTCCTCCATGAGTTTGTGAAATGGACTGTAATAAGCTGGTAGAATAGCTATATGAGAAAAGCACTATCCTTACAGCTCTGCAACAATTGTTTTCAGCTTCAGGATTGGTTCTTTTTCGATTCACCAAGTACGTCGCAGTAATGAATAAACAATATTGTTTTTTATTTCTCTGGCCTTGGTGTAATTTGAAAAAAGCAACTCCAAATGAACTGTTTGAAGCTTACTTTTGGGTTACATCAAATAAATCAATGTAAGCATGTAAGTCATCAAAGAATCCTAAAAAAATTATATTACAAGTTATTCTGTAAGGGGATAACTTGAGAAGTAAAAGACCCTGGATAAACACATTATACATTTTCTTTAATCGTAAGACGGTTAGCATAAGTAACCTACTGTATGTGTCAACGATAAGTCATACAAAAAGAAGGAGAAAAAGAATGCACACTTAAGATGGCCGATTTCTGTCACAGAAAATTGTAGAACAAACTGAGCGCACACTCTCTCTACTCTAAAGAGATTTATTTATGATGATTTATTAAAACTAGTCGATGTTTTGGCAAACAAGTCTTCATCAGAAAATGTAATAGACAATTAGCAACTGAAAGGTTCAAAATATGAATATGAACCTCATTTTGGAAGCATTGATTAATATTTTAAACTTTTCTATAAAAATGGGCCAGTAAAAATGAATTAGAATTTTGTGATGATTAAGTATCCTAAAATACCTTTTGTCAACACTCTTCCCAAAATCAATAAATCTCCTCTTCTGGATCATCCAGTAATCTGTGGAATTGAATCTCACACTTCTAATAAAGCCTAGAATTACCTTTTCCTTGCACCTTTGTACATCAGCTTGTAGCGCAATTTTACAGCACAAACTATATGTGAAAGAAAAGGTTTATTAAACTTGAGATTGAAATTGCTCCAAATAAAATAAACTACTGCTGTGACTTGTTTTTAAGCAATAAGTTTTCTGAGAAGGAGTAAAAAATCCCCTTCCTTGCACAAATTAGATTACAGTATATTGACTCCAGTGAGGAGGAAAGCTAAACAAAATGGCTGACATGTCCATTCAGCTATAAGTGAAGATGACATCAACGTGTTAATAAATAAATGCCTGCTTTAACAACTCTAATGCCACAAATGTGAATATGAGTTTTCTTACTTGCATGTATTTTTGTCATAGGAATTTTCAAAATTGTCTCTGTTTTAAAGTGTTGCTTAACCAGTGTTGTGATCTTGATCTTGTAGTCTTTTAGAATCAAACATGACCATCAAATATTTAAAGCAATGGTATATACTTTTATTCCATTGCTGTAACCACAGATATAAAAAGATTTGTTTGCTTTCACAATTGCACAGATACTTTTTAAAATGGCAAAATGTCCATCTGGTGAATTTAACAAACATGTTTAGAGAAAAAACTGCTAGATGTTTTTTCACAGACTTTAAATTGACAACGTTCAAAAGATCAGTTATAGAAATTGCAATAACAGATATTGCAACAGAAAACTGAGTTAGTCACTTTAAAAAAAAACCCTGTACCCTCTGATGAATTCAGCTTTGAATCTATGCTTGTGTGCTTCAGAATGGTTGGAATACTAATGCTGCCCCTTTTCACTCCAGATTTACTGGATTTAAATGTATATAAATGAATGTTTCTTTGGTCCTTGTAAATTAAAGACCTCACCCATCAGGCTCTATGCGTTTTCCATTGAGCTATGTAACAATGCTGTGTGATCAAAGGTAACAGCTTTGCTCAAATCAACACCCTGCCCCTAGTGAGCACAGCAAGTTGTCATACAGGGAAATAACCCAACAAGTGAGCATTGTAATGATCGGAGGGAAATAAAGTTTGCCTTCTACTTCGAAATGAGCTGCTAGATTCATCAGCCAGATGGAGTAAGGAAAGTTCACATACATAGCTGCTTATGGATGCATAGAATTACAGTAGTTGTTTTGCAAAGTTTATGCTGTATGTGTAAGTGTTATTGTTATCAAAGTAACTCAGTGGTGCCTAGTTTACCAGATCTGCAGCATTCCTGGAGCAGAGGAGTCAAGTAGCTACCACTACCTTGTGACACAGCAAAAACAAACAGCGTGTGGAGGCTAGGAAGGAGGAGGCTGATTTATATTCATATATAGAGAATTGTAGATTGAAGTAATTTTATTGACTTCCATTGGAGGAGAGAATAGATGTTAGCCCTTATTAGGGCTAACGTGATTTATGGCATAAATAGTGGCAGAACTATACTGTGTCAGTTACAGTAGATATGCTTTGAAGTTTATCTTGAATTGCATTTATAGTGAATTGATTCATAAATTAATCAAATTTGATTTCAATTTACATACATTCATAAATTGCATAATTCTGCACACAGCCTGGCATATTTTTGCTCCACATCACCAAGTTGTACATATTCAGCTTTCACTGTGTCTCAACAGTCCACTTTCACAAGGTACTTTATGTTTGGTTTTGATTTATGTAAAGGATGTCACGTCTCTATTTATACTGCAAATTGATTGTTTTTACGCTCTGAGCCACTGTTTCTCAGCATCGGCAATTTATAATCCTGGCACATCTCTGCATAGCCTATCAATCCTGGCCACCTTGCAAACAGAGTTTTACTTAATAAAAATTGATATTCTGTAATTATTTCCACTCATAATACACAAGGCACTATGAAGAGAATACACACTAGATTTAAGGACATTATATGCACAATAACACACTAGATTCCACAGGACTACAGGATGAGCTACAGGACCTAGACATATTCATGTCTAGAAAATCCATGTGCAGAACAAGTGTTCTCAGAAAATCAGAATTTCATAATATTGGTGTAATTGAACCACTTGGATACAAGGGCAGTTTTTTAGTCTTTCTGTTTGGATAATACATGATAAGTTGATTAAGAATATTCTGATATATTATTAATTACATTTATAAATTAATATTGGAGATGGAAATATAACAAAAGAACCCTCTGATTTCTCCACTTATTTCTGTTATTGTAATACAATAAATTGCATTTATAAAGTGCTTTTCAAAACAGAGCTTAATATATAGGAGAGGACACCTCCAATAAGGCAGGGAAGGGGGAATTTGCTGTGATGGCTCTTTTGAAAAGTACCATGGGATTTTTTAATGGCATGGTAGTCAGTACAAGTGTTTAACATCATTAGGTCCATTAACATCACTGTAGCAGAAACCTGGTTTCCTTAAGGACTGTACTGAATTGGCCCAAAATTGCACAGTTTCTGGGAATTGACAGGATGAGGCTAGAAAACACAAACGCTTCTGTCGATTCAGGGTTACGTCTGGCTTTTGGTGTAATTTGTGAATGTAGCTTAGACATAATCAATGGAGGTCTGCCTATGCAGTAAGTCAGCTTTTGTCTGGCTATAAAACCTTGTTTGTTATTATTTAATTGTGCTCTTAAAAACTTTCATATTTACAGTATCGCTTTTCTTTAATATCCCTCATGTTTCCAAAAATTACATTCACAATCTCTCCTGTCAGCATAGTATCTGTACAAGAGCCCATTATATTCTGAATTTGAATATGTGGTAAGCCAAAACATATTTACTGAGTTCACATTACAATGCTTTTCTGTACACAGAAGTCTGAAAGCATGTTCGTGAAGAGTTAATTCCCAAACACTTCAGAGATTGAAGCTAATGACAGTATATTATGAAGTCCACAAAAACCAGAAAATCCTCCAGGACTTCAGATTCCTCAGTGTCCAGTCATAGTCCTAGGCTGTTGCTGTATCTGCAGTATTCGTTTCCAGCTCTCCTCTTACCCAACTGGTTCCACTAGTTATTGGGTTTTAGTTCTTTCATAGTTCTAAAGGTGTTGGCGATTTAAAAAGATCTAAGGGATAAAGTGAATAATGATTTAGCACTGTGGCCCTGCAAGACCAGGTCAAGCCTTAATTGAGATATATCTTTATTTTTTTAGTAAATTTGAAGTGGATCTTTGTGACTGATGGTGATACTGTAGGTTTACTTTGTTTCAAGATGTATGAGGGTATCCTAAGGGTTTTTGAGCTAAAAGCACTGATCTCACTCACGCCCTGTGGTTCAGGGACAGTATTAAAGGCACTGTATGCAAGATCAAGCTTTTGACTTTTGATTGAAAAACTGCAAATATTGCTTTAGCTTAGCTCTGAAATCCCAGAACACTTACTTGTTTCCAACCCTGGTGGAACACTACAAGAGTATTTACACCTTTTCCCAAACATTTGTGAATTATCATTATCAATGATAATGAAGTATCATTAGGGAGTGCTGGTGTGAGATGGTGAAATTTGGAAATTTGTGTTAGTGGTCCATATTTGATTTATAACCCAAGGTAGGTAGAATGTCGTCCCGGATATTTTGGAAATTCATATGGTACAGGAGAAAACAATATGAAACAATGTGTATATTACAAATACCACAGAGTACCCTTTTATCTTTAAAATACTTTAAAATCAGTCCAAATGATTTAGGACAGAAAACAATAAGAAGCAGTTGTCTGGAGTAGTTTAATGTAAAGAGTATGTAAATCCAGTTCTGCAAGTAGTGGGTTTTGCATTGCTGGCATAAAGCACACATTACAACTTCAATCTGTTGTAAAGAGAAAAAGGAAGGGAAATCTGATCCCTTCGCAGAACACTGTCGTGATCTTCATGAAGCACACACAGGCCAGAACCTCCAGTGTCTGGATACCCTGAAAAGAGTCTGACCATGCTGCAAAAACTTTACAATTTATTTTTTCCAGTTTAAAGATGTAGCTGAATCAAAGAGTTAACCTTCCATAGAATACTTACTTGACAGTGACATAACATTAATGACTTGTATCTTGCAATATTGAAGAGTGTCCTGTGTATTTTCTCCAACTTGTGTTCTTATCATGTTACAGAGTGCATATGCCATATATTAAGAAAGACAGGCTTTTAAACATTTCTAGTATCAAAGTTCTCAGTCTCTGTAATAGTGTATTATAAGACAAAACTTTGAAACAACATATGGTGACAGATTCTCTGTACAAGAACGTCAAGGTCTACAGTACCAGTGCTCTCACTACTGATGCAAATGGTTTTGAAAGAGATACCACTTTTCCTTTTTACCAAGGAAAAGAGGATTCAAGCATAAACCAAAACTGACTTCACTTCAGTAATACGTACAATGCTACAACAACAGGCTCCTGAGTCCTGTTGAAGAATTTCTGCTAAATTATGCTACCAGTTAAATTAAAGCACAGCTCAACTAAAAAGAAAACAAATGCTCTGTGTTTCTGGGGCCATGGTTGGACACCTGACCTATGGAGGAAAATAGAGAACCAATCACTGACATTAAACCTGGTTTTTATTTTTTCCATTTGGGGAACTTTAAGTTTCCTGTGTGTGGTCAAACATGATTTATTTATTTTTTGCTAATAAAATCCCTGTTTTGGAGTGTAGATATCAAGCACATCTGATTTCGATTCTGTTCTCCTCCTACATGATTCCTCCTTAAACAAATAGCTGTTAATTAAAAATCACTTAAAGGTCTTATTACCACTACTGGGCAGTTGTGGGTGGTGTGGAGGCTCTGTGGCTAAGGATCTGTGCCTGTGGCTAGAAGGTTGTCGGTTCATATCCCGTGGCTGGCAGAGGAATCCTAGTCCGTTGGGCCCCTAAGTAAGGCCCCTTAACCCCAGCTGCCCCAGGGACGCCGTATAAATGTCTGACCCTGCGCTCTTACCCCAAGCTTCTCTCTCCCTGTCTGTGTGACTGTGTGTCTCATGGAGAGCAAGCTAGGGTATGTGAAAGACAAATTCCTTTCCCCATTTTTAATTCAGATTCAGAGGTTTTTAATGATGGCTGAAAATGTGTAGCATACCATACAGTCCTCCATGATATAATGTACTGTACAAGCAGGTTGATACAGGTGACGTAGGTTCATGCTTAGAAGAAGGAAACAGCAGGAAAAATCACATAAACATTAGGAGCTATTACTGAGTTTCAAATATAGAGGCTTTGCTGTTCCCAAAAAATCCAAACAGTGCTATGGATACTGTAAAGAATTGACAAACATTGTGTAGGAAGTGTGAGATCGTTTTTCTTACATTATGTTGCAGTGATTGGAGGATAGAGACTAGATCCAGAAGCAGGCAAAGGTAAGCAATCGGCCAGGCAGAGAGATGCTGGCAAAAACAAAACACAGTCCAGAACCGTAATCTGAAGGCAGGGGAAAATCAAAACCAGAGAAGTACCAAAGAGAGAAGTGGAGAGAGAAACTAGATCATCCAAACACAGTCAGAGCACGGAGGATAAATATGATGAGAATACTGAGACAATCAACGGATCATTAGGACTAAGCGTTGTGGCACTCCACAAGGTAATCTTCAATAGCAAATCTTGAAAGTGCAGGTGGAACGGGTTGTTCTACCTCAGCGAGTGGTAATAGCCTGTTCCTCTGATCCATCTGTTGCATTAGAAGTCCAAATGGAATGCCAAGGCCTTTGGTGAGAATGAGTATGACAAGATTCTTCTGTTTTTCCATACTGTAGACACGCTAACACAGCACCAGTTGAATGCAGTGCATTATTCTTTCCAAAATGTGGTGCTGGAGCTGCTTCCTATTGGGTTGTGCCCTTCTGTGGGTCCCCACCTTTGTGTGCAGCAACAGATCCCTTCTCTGGATTCTCTAAATCCCTCCTGTACTA